GACTTGGTACAAGTGACTTTATACACTAGTGCCTTTGAAAGTATAAAATCGTATTTAACGAAGCCTCCTGTGTTGATTGCACCAGTGCCCGGACGATCGTTAATACTCTATATTGCTGCTCAAGAACGATCTGTCGGAGCTTTACTAGCCCAGGAGAATGATGATGGAAAAGAGAGTGCCTTATACTACTTGAGTAGAACAATGACACCAAATGAATTGAACTATTCGCCAATCGAAAAGACATGCTTAGCACTCATTTTTGCAATTCAAAAGTTGAAGCACTATTTTCAAGCGCATGTTGTCCGTCTAATCTCAAGGATGAATCCTCTAAAGTATGTCATGTCAAAACCCGTCCTATCCGACAGACTTGCAAGGTGGTACCTGCAATTGCAGCAGTTTGACATAACATATATTCCACAAAAGGCTGTGAAAGGACAAGTTCTAGCCGATTTCTTGGCGGATCACCCTATCCCTGCAGAGTGGGAGTTATCCGATGATCTACCCGATGAAGATGTTCTTGTGATTGAAGCTAGTCCTCATTGGAAGATGTATTTTGATGGAGCTTCTCACAGAGAAGGAGCGGGCGCCGGAGTAGTATTCGTCACATCCAACGGCGAAGTGTTGCCTCACTCTTTTACCTTAACACAAAATTGCTCCAACAATGTTGCTGAATATCAAGCTCTTATCCTTGGGCTAGAAATGGCAGTTGATATAAAGCAACTAAATTTGGAGGTATATGGAGACTCCAAGTTGGTGATCAATCAGATACTCGGATCGTACGAAGTAAAGAAGCTCGATTTACTCCCTTATGTGGATTATGCTAAAAGACTTATCGGATACCTTGGTGATGTGATGATAGAGCATGTGCCAAGAAAAGATAACAAACAAGCAGATGCATTGGCAAAACTTGCTTCTACTTTAGCCATGCCCGAAGACGGAGCTCGTATATCAATTTTCAAGAGGTGGGTCGTACCACCAATTTTTGAACACGAAGAAATTGAAGAAGACGAAACTCGAGTGGTTTACGTGTTTGAAATCGAGAAAGAAGATTGGCGTCAATCGTTTGTGGATTACTTGAAGTACGAAAAGTTGCCTAATGATCCACGTCAAAGGGTTGATATTCGACGTCGTGCGGCTCGTTTCATCTACTATAAAGATACACTTTATAGACGTTCATTTGATGGAGTCTTCTTGAGATGTTTAGGTGATGACGAAGCCGTTCAAGCCATAGAAGAAGCTCATTCCGGAGTTTGCGGCGCCCATCAGTCAGGACCCAAGCTACATTTCCGAATAAAAAGAATGGGCTATTATTGGCCATCTATGGTGAAGGACTGCATGGAGTATGCCCAAAAATGCCCCCTAAGTTCAGTCCTCTCCTCTAAAAAAAAAAAAAAAAATAATAATAATTTCTATCTTTTTTTGCCT